GTAACAATAGTCTAGAATGTGTGTAGGGATTGGACATGTGGGGGGGGTACCCCTCTATCCCATATCTTGCTGGGTATACATTAACTGGTCTTTTTTATGCCTTTTCCCGGGCCACTCCATCCACAGCTCGAGGATATCCTTTGCCCTGGCCTCTATGTTTTTGTGCTTGTTCCCTGGCCACACCCCAGTTGATGTGTCTTTACCTGATCCTTTTGTGCTTGTTCCTCGGCCACACCACCCACAGCTTGTGGATGTCATTTGCCCTGGCCTCTATGTTTTTGTGCTTGTTCCCTGGCCACACCCCAGCTGATGTGTCTTTACCTGATCCTTTAGTGCTTGTTCCTCGGCCACGCCACCCACAGCTTGTGGATGTCACCTCGCCTGGTCCTTCTGTGCTTGCTCCCTGGCCATTCCACCCAGACAAGGTGGGGATTTGCTGACACTGGCATTCTGGTTCCACTGGGCAGGGGTCTTGGCCTGTGGAGAAGTACACATACGCAAAAACAAATACACAAGTTGAAAATGGAATTTAATATTTACCCTTCAGGTGTACAGGTAAATAGTGAGCTTGTTTCTTTGTATCAAGTTGTTTCAGACACCCGATTTTCACTCCAGACAGCACCGGTCATTTCTATTTTCTCTGTGGTGGGCAGAAATCATGGCCAAAAATTTACAATTCATTCGACGCCACCGCCATTCAACTCCCAGTAGTTCCATGTACATTTTAATTTGGTGTTTTGCCTTTCACGGACATGTATCTATAAAAGCTGTGTTCTCATGTTGTTCAAAAGGCTTGTGAAAAACAGAAAAAAAGAAAAAAAAATCACAAGTTCCCTTGGGTGGGACTCGAACCCATGATGTCTTACTGCTTAACCACTGAGCTTGCCAGAGTCGACTAATCAGTTCCAGTCTGATGAGTAACATGTATTTTTGCCAAATGCTATTGCACTGGGGAGATAATAAACAGGAGGGATACAGCCTCAGTAAACCACAACATCTTGATCTCAAAACGATTCAGGATGTTCTTACCTGTATGGATAGAGCGTGGACGGGTCCATCCAACTCATCCTTCAGAGCCTCGTTAACGAGACGGTGCCGTTTGATCAGGCTCTCCTTATCAAACCTCTCGGAGATAACCACCACTTTGAAGTGTGTCTCTGAGCCCCGGGGAACGTTGTGCATAGAGCTCTCATTGATGACGTCGAGGTGGACAGGCTGCGCAACAGTAAAATGACGGGACAAATGGAGCTGAAGGTTTGTGGAATGTGACTTGCTTTATATTTCCTCTCAGTCAAATATTTGATGTCACAAAACTCTTTTTTTCAATCATAACAATTAACAAAACTGCATATTACGTAGCTTCTAGGGATGTGACAAATATTTGATTGAACACCAAGAATTCAAATATTCACTCTTTTGAGAATTCGGGAAAGTTTGGGGGAATTTGGTATTCATGTAACCGAATACCCAAACATGCAATTGAATGGAATGTTGAATATTCAAGTACTAAATAATTCGATTTAAATCAGCTCTTACAGCTTCACATTAATTATGACTGTGGCAAGATATTAATTCATATAATCCGAGCTTCAAGTTGAACAGGAAATGAAATTCTGGCTGATGTAAAACAATTTATATTTTTTCCCAACTTTTAATGAAACTATCATTCTATTTTTCTGTACATCACAGGGCTCGAAATTGGGCTAATCATCAGGGGAGCAAGTATTGCTCCCTAAACAGTTGAATTTGTCAGTTGACGGGAGCAAGTAGCTTCCATACAATATTAAAAGACATATGTTCAAGAAAAAAAAAGCAAAGACCCAGGTCCTTGCAGTTGCTTTGAGTTTGTGCTTAGTGCCGCGATGCCAACAGTTGGGCAGCGGGCCTTTGTAACGTGCATATGCACACAGACGTAAAAGGGACCTAACTGCAGCAATCGCCCGGTTTTCAAACGAGTGAATTAGGCTGAGACTTTTGGCGGGTTTCAGCTGTTTTTGAGCAGCCTTCAAAACCACATGTTCAAGCTATGACTGGTACCGGCGAAAGTCTAAGCTGAATCCACTCGTTTGGCTTGAATTTACGCACGAGTGTAAGAGGTTGTGGTCGCGGCCAGTTTTCATACAATCGTGAGTAAATTCCATCCGTATCAATTCAGACACGGCCACTGTGGAGACCATTCAGCAAGATCGTGACACTGGCCGTGGGTATGTGTGTGTGCAGGTGTGGAGTACAGTGTGGACCTCTGCACAAAAGAAGTCCACATAATGTAGGGTGCGATGGCGTTGAGTGGACTCGCACACGTCCACACAATATTTTCCCCTCTCTGAAAACCAGTTTCAGAGGCATTTTGGGGTGAAGGTTATCCATGGCAAAATGAAGAGGAACCCTCCAGGAACTCATTATTAAAAATCCAGCTTGAAGGAGTTATCCTGGTTGGAGAAACAGGAGCATTTTCATCAAGTTTTCTTAACCACAGAAGAACAAAGGAATGTCCACACTTTGTATGTAAAACAGGTAGGTAAGTATGTTCATGTGTGTGCATGCATTGCATGCAAGACTGCGGCGGGGGCTCAGTGACACCGTAAAAAAAATTGTACCGTGTTATGGTTCCATGACAAGGATGATCCAAAGTGAAGTCAAAAAGTTCAGGTATTTTTCATGACAAAAGTAGAAACAAAGGGTGAAAATGTTCAGGTACATGTATTCTTCACTACAACAATGGAATCAGATGGGCTTGCACCTGTCTTTATGATTTACGGGTGCATTTCTGAGACAAACGGGTGCATTTTAGCTACCTGTGCCCGTTATTTTCGAGCCCTGCATCAAGAAGAAAATGGATGTGAAAAGAACCAACTGACTACTTGAACAGGCAGATTTAGTACTACCTCAACTCCTTCCTAACCAAGTCTCACTCACAAACCTGAAACATCTCTGTCAGCTTCCTCCTGATGTTTGCCTCAACTGGCCGGTCTGTTGCCATGGTAACGGGGCGGAAGACAACACTTTGCATCAATCCTGCTCCTCTCCAAAATGATGAACGATTCAGGGCCCTCGAAACTGGTCATTTGAAAAGGATATGGGGAAAAGAAAAATATATAAAAAATAATAAAAAACACCGGCAAAAGCTTTCAATAAAAACCACACCTATAAGCAAGTCGTTTTTTTTCTGGTCATGCTTAGTGTTTTCCCTCTCTAATCGACGGCAGTGTGCACAAAATATATGCCTACATAGCACAAAAATGTCACATGATTTGGTAAAGCTTGATTCTAACTCCAATTCGAAGTGCCCCCTTGGCCTAGTGGATGAGTCCAGATTGACCCAAGAACTAAGGGGCTTGTTCTGAGAGGCCAAACGACAAGCCCCATAGTTCTAGGGTGAAAGCCGGATATGTCTGCATCACGTCAGTGAGTTCACTTAATGGCAGAAACAGCAACTGCACCAAGTATGTGAGTTGACAATATCATGATTGGGTCCTCATGATACAAGTCTCAAAAACAGAATCATCTCATTTTTTTTAAAGAAAATCCTGATGAACAGAGCATACTGTCCGACACGTTGAGTACCGCAAACCTGTACAGCTGAAATCAAATTGCATGGAATGATATTAGCAATATTGCTTTATATCGCCAATTTTTTTTCCCAACCTGAGTTAGAAAAAAAAAATCAATGATTCTTTTGTTTTTCAAAGAATGTTATTGATTTCAATCAATCGAGCAAAACTAACCGCATTTTGCTGAAATACGTACGTAAGGTGTCAAAACCAAGGGCTGAATCTCAATTATGGCTAACGAGGATTCCACAAACATTAAATGCCAAAACATGCCGGGACTTTCTTATAGACCACTCTCATTTTACCTGAAACTTGTATGGGTGGCCAAAGTTTTCCGAAATAGGCCTATCACCTTTAGATTGGTTTTTTATTCTACCTGTAATTCGTTCAATTATAGGAACATTTGTCCCATTAATTTTAAATTGGGTTGTATTCTCATAAAGTATTCAGTAGTACGTATATATTATTAAGATTTTTTATACATCGCAAAAATTCTTTTACTTTGGCACCAACAGCCAACTAGGCCCATAGTTTTAGCAGCCACTTGTAGGAAAAACATGACTGTAATGTCAAATGAGCAGACCCTCTAGCTGACCATGTCTCAATGTAAAAAGGGACAAGTTGTAGAGTCTTAATTTATGTAGTTACTCCGACTAGTGCAGTTGGATGATTGACATGTTTATTTATGAAACGTCTGATAAGTATTTACTGGTAATGATAAAGGCACTGTAAGTAAAGTCTTAGGGTTTGAAATTGAACTGTTGTAGGTATCATACACAGCCAGCGAGATTTGTTTTGACAGGAATAGATCTGACATACTGTTCATATACATGCATTTCATGTTAATGCTGTACGTTGTATAATGTCATATGATTATACATAACTTTTTCTGTACATGTTTTACTTAAAAAACACTGTTTTATTGTGAAAACCTTGTTTATAGATTCTGAGATTATTGTTGCTTATAGAATAATTACATGTATATTTCTTGATTGAGTGTTGAAAGACCATGGTGAGATCGCATTAACTTGCACAGTGGATGGTCTTGATTGAGTGTTGAAAGACCTCTGTGAATGGGTGGACTGTTAGTTCGCCGATACAGATCGACAGAGGATGCACGACCATACGACCGTAGTACAACTGTACAGTATGTAAGCTATCTTACATACAGTAAACTCCGACTAAGTCAGCATTGGGTAACTCGTCATATCGTCTAAGTCGGCCTTTTGACAAAAGTCCCGATCGTCTGTATCGCATTTCCATTGAAAATTTCTTTTGTAAGTCAGCATTTATAAGTCGTCATTTTGTATAAGTCGGCATATTTTTCTCGGTCCCTTTTCAAAAAAACCACAAAAATGCCTTTGTGCAAGTTGGCATTAAAAATAAATTGTGCTTCGGTATCAGTTTCCTTCACCACGGTTGCCAAGAAGTGACAAGTCCCACACTGCTTGACTGATGTCTGCTTATTAGCAGTACGGGCCATGGTTGATAATCAGCCAGCCTGAGTACATCAATGCCAGTAGCCCCTCTAGGGCTACAGCATGCGCTCTGTCCATTTTGGGGGTTGCCTTAATGAACGAACTTAACCAATGCGCGTGTGTGGATGAGTGTATGTTTTCTGTACCGTAACTGTATCACGTACATGTACGTACTGCACTGTTGAGTCGTGATGTGATATGCAAGTGGCTTGCCATCCTTGGTTCGTTCTTAGGGGCAGACTATCAATTATCGAATTTGCAGCCCCTGAGGATAATAATCGAGAACGAATTTGCTGGGATTGACCATAGGAGTAAAAATTAACCAGGGTAAATCAAAGCCATTGAGTTAATGCAAGGAATCATAATGTACATATAGGCAATACATGTGTACGTGTAAGTCAGCAAAATGATGACTAAGTTACAGTCGCCATTCGTGTAAGTCGTCATAATTTCTTGAGTCCCGACTTAGCTGAGGTTTACTGTAGATGATGGCAAGTCTTACTGCAAAAACCCAATGGGCTCACAAAATAGTAATGAACTGGTACGTTGGTAGGCCCATGGCAGCCCAGATTTGTTTTATGTTTTCGTGTGTAGGCCTAGATATCTACTTATTTTTGGTCCCTGACCTGTTAACAGAGCGCCCTCAAGAGGTCATACAACATGAAACTTGTCCGAAACGAGCTTCCTGAGCTGCGGCTAGGTCTATTGTCAACGCGTCTCCGCACATTTCCAATGGAGCGAAGACCTAGACATAGCTCTAGCAACAGATTGGCATGCAGCCTTTCGGCCCTATTAATAATAATAGTTTAAATGAGCCCACAACCATGAATAAATTAACCTGATAACGTAGGCCTATCAGTGCAGCCTAGTTCTTGTTATGGTCATCTTGACTACATTACTATCAGACCTGCTTTCATGGCTTTAGTTGAATCATTAAAACTACATGTTCGTACAGAGCGTGCTCCTTCAACAGTGTGTCCTACCTTGAAACATGGGTTGACAATTTCTAAGGCCGAAATTAACTGACACTGACAGTTACGTGATTCACAGAGACAAGTTCTGGCACGAACGAAAGTACTCGTAGCGCTTCAATATCATTATTTTCTGTGCTTGACCCTGTCTCTTGCATTCAGTTAAGAAAACTTGTCAGGGCGAACAAGGAGGTACCAGTCTTTTTCAAAAGCATGACGTTTGGCTTGTGGGCGGGGTCGAGCGAGTCAATCTAGTATGGAAGGCCAAATTAACAATTCAAATGGTCCATACAATATACATTTTTTACAAAACAAAAAGGTGTAGCAGTTTTATATTTTCCAAGTCGTTAAAGGATTGAAGAGTTACGGAACAATATTCATGTGAGAATAATGGTTGAACATTCAGGACCGTTTTCAAATGGAAACTGTAAATTTAATTCCCCACACAGGCCCATATTTTGATTTGAAAATAGCTTATAAATATGGATGCGTCTGTGGAATTCCACTCCTGAGGACATCATATGTCGTACGCTGTCGATTTAAATCATCCTATTAAAGACTCCTCTCTCAGTAACCCTCTTTCATGCGTCTTTGTTAGTTGCCTCTTCCCTTGTTTGCATTGTTGTCTTTGTACATGGACCTTGGAGGGTTTTTCAACGTGTCGCATCAGCATGGCACCACGTTGGTTTTGTTTCAAGTGTCCCGTTTGTCAATGTCTGGTGTCTGTTTTGTGTATCTTCACTCTGTAGTTTAAGAAATTGTGTTGTGTGTCCAGGCTGTTTCGAGGATGGCTCCAGTTAAGTTACAAGCCTATCTGGCTTATGTGAAAGGCCTGTAGCTCTCCTCCAGTAACTCATATTTCGTACTTAATTAGTAACAATGATTAATCTTGCCATATTGCCTTTCAAGTAGTACTCTTTGTTATTGAAATTATATTTTTCGTTACCTCAATTTGTTTATGGTTGTATTTATACGTGCAGCTCTTAGTATTGGAGAGTTCTAAATAAATGTATATTGAATTGAATGAAAATCGAATTTTGCCTGTTCTCAGGGCAGTTAGACAAAGGTGGCACCGTGGCGTAGCGTGAGAGACAAAGTTTGAGATGTTAATCATGTTTACAAATAACGAAGAACAGGCGTGCCATAAAAGTTAAAGGGCAACATGTACAAACAGGCTCAGGCTCTAGCTAGCTAACTGGGTCTTTCGTATAAATACCCTGTGGCAAGTGAGAAAAACTGAATCTGATCGGCTTTACTTTGATCGGTATTTCCTGCTTTAAACATTCGTGCATTTGGAGATCCGACACTCGTGCATCTATCTTCATCATCATGTCTGGTCGTGGGGGCAAGAAAAGAGGCAAGTCGCTGTCCAAATCAGCGAGGGCAGGGGTGCTTTTCCCGGTGAGTCGGATGGGCCGGTACCTTCGTCTCGGAACGCACCATCAGCGAATCGGCGCGGGGGCCCCCGTCTACTTGGCGGCGGTCATCGAGTACCTCACTGGTACAGTAATCTAATTTTGTCAGCACACTTTGTCGTGGTTGTCATATCAGGGATCGGAAAGAATGTGATATGAGTATGGTTGCATATTTAATGCCTCTCAACATTTTAGTGGCAGGAAAATCTGAGAAAACTTAGGCCTATGTTCATGATAAGATATTGCCCTTCACATGTTCACGCGCAGTTTGACAAACTTTTCCGAAGAGTACCTTTTCCTTTTGGTTGTACAGCTATGAGAAATCCAATCTAATGCATGACCTTTTTAAACGTCAACTGTCTGAACACTTCAATAAATGCTTTAAAATATTTAGGCCAGAAAGAGTTCCATATACGGACAACACTTGATACCCCTGTGCGCAAACCTATGAGGTTGGTCTGAAAAAAAATATTTTCTAAGTAAATGCCTTGGAATGTACCTAGCTAAATTTCACTGTTTAGGACATGTTATCACCTTCTGATGGCTGTTATAATATTTTAAGGGAAAATCAGTGTTTCCGTATACGGAACTCTTTCATTTAGGCCCTTCCAAGATCCAGTGCCATAATTTTACAATAAACTTTGATTTTGCACCTCATGCAAAGTGACAAGTGTAACTGGAAGAGCAGGGAGGAAGGACTATGTATTGGGTTGTGAGTAAGTCCATCTAGAAAAATGAGGTTCTGTTTTTTGTTCATTGGAGTACATGTCTTCTAAGAGCTATCCAAGGCTGGTGAACACATACTGAAAATGTACTATTTGCCTGAGAGGTCAGGATCTCGGACAGAGCTCCACATACGTGGACAACAGTAATTATTTGCTGAAGTGACTGATTAGCCATCAGAAAGCAAAATCATGTCCAGAAAAGTTCAATGTAGGACTAGGAGGGAGAAGACCAAGTCGTATACGGTAGAAAAACCTTTTTCAGTCTTTTTCAGACCAGTCATACAGCCTTTTTACACTACAGCCTGTCAACCCAGGTTGCACTCAACCCTTGGCGAGCCCACGGCCGCCCTGGGTTGAAAAGTGGATTTTTCAACCCTAAATTCAAGCTTATTGGGGTGAGTTCAACCCGGAGCAAACAATTTTCAACCAGGGTTGAAAATTCTCAGCCCTGGTCTGGAGCAGGGTTGAGTTCAACCCGGATTGAAATAAATCTCGGGGTTGATGCTGGGTTGGCATAGGTTTGAAAATTTTCAAGTGTGAATCGCTGCTAGTTGTCAACCCTGCGTCAACCCCGAGATTTGCCTAGTACGAAAAGGGTTTTACAAGTGGCGTTTATATATAGAACTCTTTGTAGGATCTAAGACAAAATTAAATCGTTTATTGGATGTAAGGTTACCATCCCCATGGGCACCTATGCCCTTTACAAATGTATTTATTGGGGGGATGTTTTTATTTGAAAGACCCACTGTCAGTTTTTTCCAAAGCAGTGTACAACTGCAAGAATCAGTGCTTGTCACTAAGCAACACTTCTGTGCCAGTTTCGAAGAAGTATTCAAATGTGTTCTTCTTTCAGCGGAAATATTGGAGTTGGCAGGTAATGCTGCTCACGACAACAAGCGAGGGCGCATCACGCCTCGCCACATCCTCCTTGCCATCGCCAATGACGAGGAGCTCCACCAGCTGCTCCGCCACGTGACCATTGCCAGCGGAGGGGTGTTGCCCAAGATTCACCCTGAGCTGCTTGCAAAGAAGAAAGGACCAAAGTAAGATGGATTGTCATAGTTGGACGGTTTGATAAAGTTGGACCTTCACATTTGCACGCAACATTCGGTGCAACCGTTGTCTCTCTTTTTCTCACCATTGCAAAAACCAGTCTGTTCTGAGACAACTGGCTCCTTGGGCCGGTGTTTATCTCCGGTTACTCGGGCATGAAATGACTGAAAATATTGCAGCCCTTTCTACATCATCGAGAAAGCATGCAGAGATGAAAAAATAAAGAAAAAAATTTCCCAGTCTTTCTGTTTGTTACAGATCTAAGATGCTGTTTGATTCTCAGCCAACTTCCCCCCAGATGAGGCCAACGAGCTACAAGACGGCAGCGCAGAAGAAAGACACCCCTTCCACCTCCAAGAAGGGGGCAGCCAAGGCCAAGGCACAGAAGACGCCGCCGCCAAAGAAGGGGAAAACACCAGCCAAGGGTAAAGGGAAGGTACGTCTTCCAATTTGAACAGCTCTGTAGCTTTATGCAAGCCTATGCACTCTAGTAGCCCATTTGCAAAGACGAGCATTAACCAAGTATAGTAATGGAAACACATGTGCAAGGTGGAAACCGTTTGGTATGCTAATTAATGAAGCTCCACAATAACAATAGTGCCCCAAGGGGAGAATCAAAGGCAACTCAAGGAAGCACTCAACCTTGCCAGTCAGTCCATGATATCATACGTAATTATTGTTCGGCTTCTGAATACAGTAGTCCATTTTTTTATTGCATGGTTTGACTGCTCACAGTGTAAACAGTCCTGCAAGAAACCACCGTGTTCAGTATTTTGACCATATGAAATATCCTGTGCTGCTCATCGTATGCATGGCCATACAGCCACATTTCAGTATTCAGTGAAATGGATACTAACTCATAGTGTGCATTGAACAAACAGCCACCGCTGCTAGCATAAATTATATGTATGATGTATTTGTGCAGATGCTTTTGAGCAATAAGTGAAACATTTCAATGTCATGATTACAACATAATACTTACTGCAAAAGACCTCACTCTTAGGGCCGGTTTACACTTGGCGTTGAAAGTGAAAATGAGTGCAAAGTGTTGTCATCATATCAAATATTCGCACTGCAAATTTACAAAAATCAATCAAATTTCACTGCAAATGTGTCTTGACGTCAAATCTGCTTTCATATTTGCCTGAAGCATTGACTAAACTTTTACCTGTATCTCAGCGATGTTCAAAATGCACATGTGTTAAGATCTGCCAAATTTGACTTTTTGACAAACATAGCTGTTCAAAAGTGGAAAAGATTGTCACTAAATTTTTCAAACTGCAGTTATTTCAGATGGTTAAAAAAAAAAAACTATTCTCAACGTTGTAGCATAAGTAGCCCCTGAATACCGGTTCAAACTTAAATTACAGTTTTCTTCTTGATGTTAAATAGGAAAGTTTCTGTTAGTCAAAGGTGATCTTGCATGTTTGCAGCAGATCTGTGTATTCTGATCGTGAAATTGTCCAATCTTTGGGTGTATGGAAGTGAATAGTTAATATTGCACCCACCTATTGCACTCGTAGTGTTTAGAGTCCAAAACAAATGCTTTATACTTGTAAATTGCTGAAGATCTCATTCTGCATGCATAGAGTGGCTGGAATGTTTTTCTCAGGGATTGTGACCCAGCATAAGTGAGGGATTCAGACAATTTATTGAGGAGATGGTAAATTTTAGAGGTGGCTGGATCTCTGAGGGTGATGAGTCTCTCTCCTTTCTCTTGTAACAGGGCTCAGGAAAGACTGTGCTTTCGGAGAAGAGACTCTTTCTTGGACAAAAGGTCAGTTCAACACAGTGACTTCTGCATTGGCATTTACTATTCTTAAAATACTTCTTATGATATATCTCCACCCAGATCAATCAGTAAATTCATTTTACATTTGACATTTCTGAACTAAAATTGTGACACGAGAGAATTAATGGAATGAAGTGTTACATATTAAAGATGTCTTCTAGCGTCATATTTCTTGATCAAATACAATGCAAAAAATTAACATCCTGATAAAGACTTGTGGCATATTTGATTGTAGGGTATGTTTAAACCGATTGCATTGCATATTTTTGTTGTCAGTCACGACATTATATACTCCATATCTGATATTAGAATTGAATTTTTAGATACAGTGATTTTACCTTGCGCTGCTTAGATGCACTGCTTTGTGGGGTAAAAACTTTGAGCAAAGGTCATTCTCTACCAACTTGCTGACATGAGCAAGTAACATCAGAAAATAAAGGAGTCAAACTTCAGTGTCAGCTTTTGAGTTGGCATCATTGAACTCTGCATCCATATCGGCTGTGAGAGTTAAGCTTCTGACCCGTTTTTAAACCTACAGCTGACTGTGGTCCAGTCCAACATAGCTGAAATCACGGCAGACGCCGTTGTCCATCCAACCAACTCAAGCTTCTACATGGGTGGAGAAGTGGGTAAGCCATCAAGATTCTAGAGTCCCAAGTTGTTGCTGTGTGCATTGTACTTGGTGTATGGAGTTATTTGGCCATTTTCTTTTTGTATTGGGTGTGCAAACTTTACTGCATTGTGGATTGCCAAGAAGTAACCCAAAGTCTAAAGTCCTCTGCAATACAGAAAACGGACAGACTTGTCTCATTTCTTTCGTGCCAAACATGCACATCCTACTGGTACCCGAGGCCATCTCGGACTACCTCTATATTATTAATAATTATTAATGTAACTCTTATGTCAACATCACTGGTAACACAGCAGTACTGGAGGGATTTGTATTTCATTGGGAACCAGCTGAGTTCCTGTCAAAATGTAGAGCAAGACTGCTACCAAGGACATGTGGGGGCCATTCAGTGCAGAACACCAACTTAATGGGAAATGTACCCTACACATGAGTCCACGTTGTCCTGCATTACCATGTGTAGATGGCTACATGCTACTTACCGTGTGCACGGTGGTCCTAGATTGGTGCAGAGGCACAACGGTCATCATGAATGCTGCTTTGCAGCAAAGACCCATACCAAAGAAAATGGAATTTTCAATATTAAGAAAACTGAAGTTTGATTTCAGAAAACACGAAGCTGAGGTATTTAATGTAACCATAGATAAACCGTCACTCATAGTGCATTATGGGAAACATTTGACATCAGTGTTGCAAACTGTAATCTGTTAACTTAACGACTTAGTAGTTCTTTTATGTGCTGGCTTTTTATTTACATTTAGGGAATGCTCTCGATTCCGCTGGTGGTAAGGAATTCAGGGATGAGATGAACAAACTCAAGTCAAATCACGGCAACCTGGAAGTTGCTGGAGGTATTTTTCAAATCACCTGTTTTCCCCAAAAATATGTGACGAAGTTTAGTTGTCCCCTTGAATAGGGCCTAATGAGCTAAATTGTGACATTTACAGGTGCATTTGCCTAAAGCCCTTGTAGGCATTGGGTAATTTTTTTAATGGTTCACTAGTCTTTTCCTGAAGGTAAGCTGAGTTTGAAATTTGATACTTAACAATTATATAAGAAATGAACCTTACTTGCTTGCTTTCAGAGGTTTGGATGCAAAGACAAGCAGTGATAGTTATAAAAATTGTTGTTTCAAAGGAAGGAGTTTTGACTTTGTAGCAGAATGATACTGTTTCCTGTTGATGCGTTTCAGAAATTGCAACTGTATTTTTAACCATTTTTGTGAAAATTTGAAAGGCAACATTTTTTGTAACGTACGTATATTTTATTCTGTTGGCCTTTTTTCAGGTGAGTGTTGTTGTTTGTGTAATTTTGCTCTGTCAAAATGTCAGTAGAGCGATATGTCTCATTATCTGTTGTCATTTCAAGCCGCCATGTGCCCGGGCCACAACTTTCCTGCAAAGTACGTGATCAGCTGTCACAGCCCGTCGTGGGGTGGTGCAAATGCCATTTCTAACCTTGAAAAGTGTGTCAAGAACTGCTTGGCCCTTGCTGATGAGAAGAATCTTACATCTATCGCTCTGCCGTCTATCGGCAGTGGGGGGTGAGTGACAACATTCAGAGAAAGTTGAGCTCTTGTGAGAATTTTCTTTCCAGTTTCTGAAGTCATCATAACAGAGCCTTTGAAATCTCAAGGTTGCTCCAATGAAGCTTGCAACACAGTGCTGAATTTTTGTTTTCCTCAAGATTTATTCAGGCATTGAATAAAATAAATGATAAATGTTTCACATTTGTGTCATGGAAAGCATAACTTCATGAGGTTACAGAATAAATGATTCTATTGGATGAAGCTCTTGTCTTGTGGATTGGAATATTGAACATTCATCGACATTCATTATTTTCATCAAAGACAAATCCTGCGACCTGAAATAGAAGCCATTGGTGCGTTGGCAACATGTTGCGTGCAGCTGGTACATGTGCGTTAAACGCATGTACCTCATTGGCCAATCAGGCATCAGGATTTTCAAAACAATTCACATGTGCTCAAGTTTGAGAATGCACGTGTGAGTGTGAAGTCACCCCAGTTATGGCGTCATCTCAGATTAATCTGTAGAAGCAACCGGATTCACTTCTCCATGAAACAAGGTCACTGCCGGCCCATTCATACTCTCCGACCCTCTTGTCATCTTGGACTGTCGTTATCAATGCCGTACTGGCATTCTGTCTTTGCCATTTGAGAAGTATCCCTGTTTTTTTCTCTCTGCCTGTGCTGTAGCAATGGGTTCCCCAAACAGACGGCAGCAGAAACCATCCTCCAGACCATCAGCAAGTACTTTGTTACCGTCATGTCCTCGTCCCTCAAGCAGGTGTTCTTTGTCCTTTATGACCAAGACAGCATCGACGTGTACACCAGAGAGCTGTCACGGTTGGAGGTAGATCAGAATTAAAAAGAAAAGAAAATGCTTAAGCAGGGAAAATTTAGTAGGCGGCCTGACCTCAGAACTATTGCAAGACTTTTAGTTTTTGGCTGAAACTCTGATTTCCAGAGAATGATTTGCAGATTCAGCCAAGGGCAGTAAAGGGCACCTATCTCTTGTTATTCGTTACGATATGTGGCCTTTTTAAAAAACCCTGGTCATGTCCATTATTAGGCTACATCTAAATCTTTTGTCTAGAGCTATGTGTTGGTCTAGGTATCTGCTGATTGCAAGTGTGCAGAGACATGCTGACAACAAGTTTTAGCTATGGAAGCCCATTTCAGACACTGCCCAAATCTTGCCTGATCACATTCTGCAGCCATTCTTGTGACTATGTTGCCCTAAACAAAGTGTGACAAGGTTACCAGGGAAATATACCATCTATATGTCGTGATTCTAATGCAGTATGTTGTGAGATGAATTTGTCATGCTTTGTGCAGCTGAGTGCTAATCCTAATTGAATTTGTAATTAGAAATTTGAATTTTGTTTCTTTGTTTCTTTTTTGTTTTATTTCCATCGTGACCAGCATTAACAGGTATTATTTCTGTATGCATTTTTCTGTCATTACAAACACAAGCTCCGTTTAATGTCATTGGTAAAAGGATTTGGTTGGATTTCAAAGTGAAAAGTGAGTGGCAGAATGAAGACAAGCTTGCAATAGTCTGTGGTCCAGGGACCTCGATAGCTATATTTCTGTATTAGATTTCATAGTTGATCAGTTCGGTTGCTTGTTGTAGACTTTTTAGAATTCTATGATAGAGTTAGTAACAGTGACATTGCAATCGGTTTGAATTGTTCTATTTTTGATCATGCTATGCACATAGGCTTGGTGTTTGACAGCGGACACTGTTACCTTTTTGCAGTGTTGCTTACTGTAATGTAGATTATTTGTCGCTATATTAGAAAAAGTAGTGTGAAAGGTGCAGCATGTTTCACGGATTGGCAAGGAAGTTTTTGGCTTGTGCACATCTCATTTATTCTTTTGTTATGGGGTACGTGCAAAACTTCTGCACTTTTGTTAGCACAGAATGATGATAAGGAGGATGGAAGTTTTTTTTTTTTGCCAGCTGTGAAATGGCAACACATGGAAAGCTGGGTCACCATGCAAAGTGGTTCTGGTGATGCCAACTTTTATTTGGAAGAGGTTGAGATTCCAAGATGATTGATTAGTGTCGTCCACTGAGTCTGAACTCTGAAGTTTTCAGAAAACTTTTAGCAGACTGTAAAAGACTGTTGTTTCAGGATTGATTTGAATGGGGGCAAGAATGGATCTGGAACCATTTTTTGGGGGGGGCTAGTTATATATTGAAAATATATTGATTCAAATGATCCAATGGTGTGCATTGTGACTGGGTAGGGAACATTTGTTGCCATATTGGAGTTAGTTTCAAAGTTGGGGACAGGAAGACATGTTTACATCAAACGTTACTTGATATTTGTGAGTTTTCATTTAATTTTGCTGGTACATGTAGGTGTAGATTAGATGAGATTGGATTAGATTTGACAATGAACGTGAAATACGGATGCCCATTCTCCTACTCATTGACACGATATGATTGTATATTGGGAAACAATTTATTCAAAATGATACGATTTTATAACTCCCTTTTTGCAACAAAAAATTGATTTATAAAGTTTATTAAGTAAGTTGTCTGTCTCTTGACGAAGAAAAAAGACTAATTCCTTGTGTTGAAATTGTTTTAAAAATTTTAATCAAGCACACTTGAAATGATTCTTACATATCAGAGTGAAAGTTTTTCTTGTACATATAGTTTATCCTACAAAATGAATAGCAAACTAAGCATAGAATTTTAACCTCATTATTTGAGAAGTCGTACACCGAGAAAAGCTTTCATAAAACTGTTGACTCCAATGTGATTCAAGCTTAATACCATACAAGTATTGAATTGAAGTTAACCTTAATAAATTACAGATATTTTAAACAGAAAATTAATTACAAGTATTGGAATTGTTCACAATATATTAATTACACATTTGTGTACTGGTTGTTCTCGTGAAATAACCATAATTTACAAGGGAAAGAACTCACAAGTGGGAGTTAAGGAAATGTTTATGAATTATGCTGAGCGATAGGATGAAATCTAAATTGTAGGCTGCATCGAATGCGAAAAGGTATAACCTTAAATTATTTAGAACGTTTATTTCATTTCTCGACTATTTGCACACTTACATTGTAGATTTTTTGAATTATTTTTGCTTTTTTATTGTAGATTTTATGAATTATGTTTGCTGAAATATAATATTGAATAAGTCAATGATTACATTTTTCGACTCGGACAAGTAAGGTTAGAGCTCACTGATAGATATTAAAGCATTTAATGTCTAAGGGAGATTTTTGGTTACCTGTTTTCGTGCTGTCTTGATTCGTTTGTCATTTGGACATGCAGTGGCATAAATCTGTGCCATAAATTGGGGGTGGGGTGGGAAAGGGGGGGGGGTTGACATGCCTGGCCATGGAAATTTGAAAAGCGGGGTGAAGGGATGACAACACGTGACATGATATATGATATTGATGAATATCTGCAATATGGCCTTTTAAATTTTTTGGGGGGAGGGAGTGATATTGAATGCATATCAGTTGTTGGGAAGTCCCAATAGTTCTTCACAATACGCTTGACGTTTTTACTTACTACAAAAAGTGTGTGTGTGGGGGGGGAAAGATGATTTATTAGTCCATCCCCCCTGAAAGGGGGGGTATATACCCCCATCCCCATGGGATTTACGCCCATTCGGATATGAATGAACCAGCAAAGCAAACACAAGAATACCTGTTTTTTTTTATTTTTACTTCGGGCGCTTGTGACAGTTAGCCCCTAGCTCGACCAAGAGGGGGCGCAATTTTCCTAGTAATGGAGGCTCCTTTGGCCGAAGTTCACTTCGCTTGAAATGAAATGATAAAATGCATGTACACGTTACGGTTGCGTCGCTACCAGCAAAATAAACGCTCCCAACCAACATGACTCACCGATGAGAGTGTGCTTCTCCTCAAGGCGGATACGGACCCACAGAAATATAAACGCAAGTCTATGGATAGACCCCAGACAGACATAAACGCACAGACCACCAGTCTTGCACGTGTAATCTTGATTTTAAAAAGCGTGGGCAAGCAGTACTAGTGGGCGAAACGATGAAAAGCAATGCGTGACTTTGTTCATGAATGCGTTTCATTTTTTACTCTTTGGTACTGTTATCTCTTCTTTTCAAATGTTCAAACTGCATTGTTTCAAAGTTGCTTGGTCAGATTAAGTAAACGGAGGATTTTTTCCTTCACAATCGAAAATGGCTTCATAGAATTTCATGGCTGGAATTCTTCAACTGTGCGTAAATTCCCTATACCGAGGCAGGGTACCGAGGGGTGAATTTGCCCACGCTTTTGTACCGGTATTTAGTCGGGTGCCGTTTCGGCTACGGTACCCTGCTGTTGTTGAATAGGAGCTGCCCCGTCTATGGGTTTATATGTCTGTGGGATAGTGTGAGGGTAGCAGCGAAGGGTACAGTCCACTAATCCAAGTCCCATTGAAAACAGTGTAAAATCAGCACTGTTTAGGGCCCAATAACATGCATGCCAACATGCCTGAGATTTCTGAAACACAAATGAAACTATTGTCTTGTCACTAATCTTTCATTTTCTTTTCAATTTTTGAGGGTTAACCAATTACATTTTTAATTATTCCTACAAAACAAAATCATTTTGATTTTTCCAAAGTTTGATTGCAGCCATTTTTTCAAGTGGCAACCATCAACTTTCTGGGGCACTTTAATAGGACCATTTTTCAACCGTAGTTTTTAGTCATTCTGCTCTCATATGAAAGCCCAAAGACCCAGGGTGTTGATCCTGGCAAGGATTTACACAATCTCACCATTTTGGGGGCCAAACTGTCTCCTTTTTCAAAAGACACTGTGGGGAGCACTTTAATGCTAATGAGCTGGCCGGTTATTCTCACTTGAATTAGTGGTCTGCTATGGAATGCCAAAGATGCAAAAACTTGGAGGCAACACATCGATCGTTCTTCGATATCGATCAACTCTTCCCCTACATCGATCGATCGTTCTTCTACATCAATCGATTGTTCCCTACATCGATCAATCGTTCCCCTACGTAGATCTCTTTTAATCGATGAAGATAGAGCGATGAAAAAAGAGTGATGGAAAAAGAACGATGACAAAAGTGCGACGAAAGACTGATGAAGAAAGACCGACGAAGTTGCAGCGATACCAATGTTACGCAACCCCTTCCAGTACCAAATAAAGCACATGTTCTCTGTAACCATAGCCGACCAGCACTCAAGGCCACCCCTGTTCATTGGCCGTCAGTCTGGTCTGAGCCAATTGGGTTCTCAGGTGGGTGTTTATATCCAAGTTTCCTCGTCATAAAATCACTGAGAACATTTTTTTTATTTTCCCCTCGATGGGATACCAGTTCTTCATGGGTCGCTCCCTAAAGCTAGCCACTGTGGGCAGACATGCTTACTCCTAATGACTCAAATTGTATTTTACCCACTAATAACATGCCGGTGGAGCTATTGTGTCAGATGCTATTCAAAAAGTCAACCTTCTTGAAGCTGCCAAAGGAAATTATTCTTCATTATTTCTGAAAATTGCGTGACACCCTCCAAAAAGGGAATTATTTCATCTAAGGCTGCTGAACGTGCAGAACTTACTGTGTAATTTCCATGGGTTAAGGATTTTTTTCACATGTATTACAATATAATTGAGCCTATGTAGTCTTAATCGTAACGCTTATAGGCTGCCAAATAACTTTTCTGGTTTTACTTTTGTAATAGTACCAGTTTAACTGTGCATAATACAATGTACTGGACTTACTGCAACTCATCCACTTTGCTCTTGAGATCATTGAAAGGTAATTGAAACAAGTTGACAAATTAGATTGAGATCTTTTAAATTCGGAAGGAAAAAGTGTGTTCATCAGTGTGTTGGAGGTGCATAGCCAGGTAACTAGGTAAAATGAATGAAAAAAAGTGGTTCTGCCGGTTCTGCCGGGATGTTATTAGTGTGGAAAATAAAATTCGGGCCACTAGGAGTAAGAATGGGTGCCCACATTGGCTCGAGAGCAGCCCATAACGAACTAGCATCCCACCCACTAGGGGGAAATAGATATGATATTCTTGTATTGGGTCTACCAGACTGACACTGAGGTTATGAACACGGGTGGCCTTGAGTGCTGGTGGGTGATGGTTACAGCCTGGAGAACACGTGCTTTACTTGGTACTGAAAGGGGTTGCGTAACGCTGTCATCGATGCGGCTCCGTCGGTCTTTCTTTATCGCACTATGATGTCATCACCCTTTTTCCATCGCTCTTTTCTCATCGATGAAAAGAGATCGATCGATGTAGGGGAACGATCGATCGATGAAAGGGAACAATCGATAGATGTTGAAGAACGATCGACGTCTTGCCTCCACTTTTTTGCATCTTTGGCATTCCATAGTCTGCACCCCGAACCACTTCAGATCGCCCAAGAAAGGTGAGAGAGTAACTAGTCACAGCGCCCTCTCTTGGTGAAAGGTTTGAGCTTCACACTTTCCTGTGCCACCTTGCCACCGGCCGGGGCCTGGCCATGCTGCCTAACAATCCAGGTAGTCTCTTAATTTTTCTTTCTGAAAACTTCATTTCATTAGAATTTTGATTGATTATGTAATTGTTGCGCACCCGCAAATCTTGGAATTGTAGCGCCCCCTAGTATTACTCGTTCTCGTTCCTTGCATTCCCAGCGTCTCTTACCGGTAGCTCAGCTATGCATTTTGGATGTAATGTACTCGTGTACGTGTACTCAGGCGTAGGCTCAGAGGCAGTGCTTTAATGTGCGTTCCACTCACGGCATGCTAATACATGTACGGGAGCCTCAAAATGCCATATATGACATTTTCCCTTTTTTTATCAAACAACAAACAGTAGTAAACAGTAACGTTACAACTTGAACGGGGGGGGGTCCAGTTTTTGAAACCCAACCAACGGCAAGGTTTTGAATCCGCGCAAGAACAGTTTGGGGAGCTGTTCATACCTGGCTATCCGTCTCAGCCAGTGCAGCGATGTACTTTAGTGAGTGGGATCAAGAGATGGAGCAATATTCCTACAGGAACAAGGGCTCCTCCAGTGGTAACTGTGCTTTGCTGGTTCACAAACGACTATGACATGGAAATCGAAGCGTTGCATCGCTACCAACAAAATGAACACTCCCGACCAGCATTGCTCTTTTTTAACCGATGAGGGGGTGCTTCTGCCCAATTAAGGCGGATTTTCCTGATAATGAAATTAAATGACACCCTTTAGTCGCAGTGGTTGCGGACCAGTAAGTATCCCCAACACTGCTGCGTGGACCAAGTCAGAACTTGCATCCTGGCAAATTCATCTGTGACACGCGAACGAACTGGAGGGTTGTAACAAAATATTAGAAATGGAAGGTGTACTAACAGGACTGCTAGCTTATATTTCTAGGAAATTTGGGCAAAACACAGTCCCTCAAATGCGCTTTACTGAAGTGGAGTGAAGGTGGCACAAACTTTCAAAATTGCAAAGGCTTCACGACTATTTTTAAGGCGGATCATCTTGGGACAGATTTATTTTCAAAAGCAATCGTTCAACCCCCCCAACAAAAATGTGAGAGAAAATGAGAGATGTGTGCCTCAAACACCCGAGAAATTTGTATTTCACCTGATTTTTGGAGTTGGAGGAGAGATGTTTTTCATTGTCCAGGGCAGCTTAGGTCTACTGGTCTGCAACGTGGAAGAGACCTTGTAAATTTGAACTAAATATGTTATTATATTAGTCGTCGTTGAGAATGTTTGGAAACGCCACAGAATCAATACAAAATGTGTCGAATTCATATCTTGCCGCAGTGAGATTTTATCGCAATTTATTTGCTCTTTTTAAAAAAAATTTATCTGTTAGTGATTGCGCACCTGCCAAACCCAACACAGAGCACGTAACCGAGGAAAATGCCCGCTGCTTGTGGGAAATCAGAGCTGAGATGGTCAGTTTGGCGAAGAAAATAGAGAGAAACTGGGACTGTGGCGACATCCAGCCTCATGCAATATAACCTGGCTATTTGATTTTGCTTATTCTAACTTCGCTTGATCTTCAATAGCATTGATTTATTTGTAGTGTGTCTCCGAGTGACGTTTTCTGACTTTGCTCTATTGTTTTCAGAAGGGGTTTGCAAGTACCTAAATTATTAAGTCAGTGTTTCCGAAGAACATATGAACTAACGAATTACATATTTGTTCACATTTTGCGGAACTATCTTTACCTCAAATTTTTTCTAAAGTTTTCACAGTAAACATTTGTTGTCAATGAGTTTTTGGTTGACGTTTGGTTTTGGGAACTCTTTGAATTGTTACTGTTTCAGATACTTTGACGCTCACAGTGAAACAAACTGTTTAGTGACTTCAAAATTGATTTCAAATTTTGAGACCACGTATTCTTATGAAGAGTAAAAATCTACATCGCAAGATTAAGAAAAAAAACCGAAAAAGTCTGAAATCCTGACTTGAAAAGTTCTCAAAATAAACGTTAAATGTAACAAATAGATTGGTTACTTTCAGTGCTAGAAATTAATCATCCATGTTTCTTACTTTTCCTCCTACATTATCCCTGCACAAATCAATACTTTAAAGCCTTTTTATTTTTGTTTCACGACTAAGAGGGTCTGACAACATAGCAACCTACTGTGGTATTGTATGATTTAAATAAGTACATGTTACAGAGAAGTACACTCACCTGACGAATTCCTGAAATTGTTATGTAGCTAACTAAGATGCCGATTGGACATTGGTTCTGCTCATTGCTTTACAGTTGAATGGTTTAAGTAGTGTAGTGTGTGTATATAAGGGTGTGTCTTGTAATAAAAGGTTGTTGAAGTCTTAGACAACCATTTTTGCGTTTGTTCCGTTCTTTTGGTTGTTATCACTTGCTTCTACGTTATAACACCCACACAACCATAATCATACATTCCACCTGCTATTTTCCAAATCAAAACGTCAAGGCTACATTGTTCCTGTTCTGTGATCAATTTGAAGGAGTATCACCCAAGCCATGCCAGAGAAAACAAAAAAATCTGTGAGTGAAACTGAGCCTCCTCCTGTACTATCGCCACAGGCTACACTACGTGGCAAGGCTGCGTCGATTTCCGACACCGAGCAAGAGACATTTGAAAGCTTTGTTCGCCAGTCACTATACTGAAATTCGTGCTGGGCAGGTGGAATTACGTAATTGTATAGACAACTTGGAAGCCAACATCAACGAAACAACAGAGTTACAGAGTAAGCGTGTCAGTGATCTGGAATCCAAAATGGGTGACCTTGATCTGCTTGTATCGAAGATGGCAAAGGCAGAGAAAATCATCGCAGATCAGGCACAACAACTCAACAAACTGGAATGCTTCTCCTGCAGGAATAATTTGAGAATCATTGGCCTGCCACAAAAGCCCGGAGAGGGCTGCTTAGCCCTATCAAAGAAGCTACTGAGTGACAAGTTTGACATGGCCGACGTTAAGATGGAAAGAGCTCATCGTGATGGCCCCAAATCAGATGGGAAACTGCAACACCTACTGATGAAGCTAAATTGCTACCAGGATAAAATATCGATCCTACGGCGCCAACGCCATGCTGCTAAAGCCTACCAAGAAGGCATCAAGTACCTGTTCGTAATGGCTGGTAAGTGGAGGCGTAAGGATGGCTCTGTAGCTCACTGTTACAATCAAGCCCCACTAATCATCAGCATCCCCACCTACATTTCCTTTGCTTCTGCTGCTCAACGCCTGAAGATTGACATATGCGATTACTTTATTTATCTCCATTTGTTTCATGCGTCACCTTTCAGTTTTTACCTGCTTCTGTGATCACTCTTGTTTTGTTCGCTAGCCTTCCTGATTACGTTCATTTTAGTCATTACTTTGTTTTACTCTAGCTCTAGCTTCCATCTTTGTTACCTTGTTTGTTTGATTATAGGTCTTTTACAAAGACACTTCATCCCTCTTTTTCTTGCTGTAAATATATTATTGTTTTGTTAAGTCTTGTTAATTGTCTCCAACTTAATTGTCTACTTTTCTGCAGTTCGCGATACTCATGGGCACAGCTCTCGGTCTCTTAACAATCTTTACGTTCCTTTCACCCACACAGCATGCACTCTTAGAACACTTAGGTTTCAGGGGCTACGTTTGTGGAACGGTCTTGACAAAGCTTTGAAAACAAAGTTGTCTTTGAGTCGATTCAAGGCCTTTCTCAGATTATTTTTGGTTTCGAAATACACAGCTTAGTTTCCTTCTTTCCTGATGTATTTCTGCCTTTTCATCACACTGTTGTGTTTTTTTCTCTTTTTGCAAGTTTCATGTCGTCTTTCCGCATAATTCCCTATTGTCATTGTTAATACAAGTACCAAATTTATTATCGTCATTTTCCATTATTTTTATTTCCGTCATAAGGTATTTCCTTTTAAGTAAATTTATTGCTGTTGTTGTTTTTGTTGTCTCGCTGTTTGTTTGTCTCTCTGTAAAGTTTGTTTTGTCCAGAGCTTTTCAATACAAGCTTCCCGGCTTCTGAAAAAGCCCCCATACTGGTTTTCCTTTTATTTTATCTATGTATTTCTTGTTTTTTTGTTTCTCTATAATAATTTATTGATTTATATATTTGTACTGTTATTGTTAACTTTTCCTGATCTTCGCCAATATGGAAATAAACGTCATATTGATTGATTGGTTGATTGATTGATATCAACAGGCGGCGACAGAGATTCAGCCCCCAGCTTGACCATAACCCAGACGTAGAAATTCTTACAAAATAGCAGTGCCCCATTGTGTAAAAAACATTCTCCCAGACGACCTCTTGAAGAAGCGCAAAATAAACCCTGCTAGGTTTATCACCGCGTACTGAAAAGTCAATTGATCTTACATCGCACAACCCCAAAGCCAAACACTCCGACGATACTGTCGGCAGAGTGGTCCGTTTGGGTTTTGGGCAAGGTCGAAGGGAGCTTGATTAAATTCTAGGTCACAGTGGGACCAGCAAGTTAATTATTCACTCTGTAAAAAATTACCCTTTGATGTTTGCGGATGAATTTGCATGAGCTTATTGGCTTGAAAGTGTACAGCAACTCAACATTGCATTTATTGCGCTTTGCTCACACAGCTCAGTTAAACTCACATAAAATTATTCCTTTTTGATATCGATTTCCAGTCTTCATTTTTTGAAAGTCATACACATCACTTTATACAAATATACATGGGCAAAGGAAAATACCGCCCTCTTTTTGTCTTGGATGTGAAGAATGGCCAATCTAAGTCACTGTATTGCAATTATGTTATCGACATAATTTATACTAAATAATAAGAACAGTAAAATTTTTGAAAAACGTATGTTTTGTTACAATTCTATTTACGAGTACACACCTCACTTTAAATTGGTACCGTATTACACTTACAACAGTAAATCTGGCAAAGTGAGATCAATTGATAAGTAGAATTGCATAATTCCTCTAGGCACTGTTGGCAATTGCAACAAAGTAGTAATCTGTGCCAGATTTATTATCTTTTAACACAAAGCCGCATATCACGAAACATTTTTTTAACAGACAACGTCATAAACAAGTCAAGAGAATATCTCATTGATTATTGTTGGTAAACACTTTTTCTTGAAAGGACAAAAACTAACTGAGACTTGTAATATTCACATTGTGCATAACCCAGTGTATCACACTAAACAGAAAGTGATATAGGTACGACATATAAGCTTGTAATGCACTTGTTTTTATCAGTGTTACGTGATCTATATGAAGAGTACTGTGCCTTATGTACAATTAAGTGTATGGGTATGTGATATAGAGAACGTGACTTCGAAACTTAAAAAAAATGGATGGCACTGTTCGACGATGGTTAATAAAGGCTATCAAATTTGTACCTTGACGGAATACACAGCTTGACACGACAACATTGTTGAAAAACAAACACATCAATTTTACCGAAGTAGCGTGAAGTTGAGGGTGCAAGTCTTTCTGAGAGCGAGACCTCGAGATAGGACGACAACAAATAATGCTAACATTATTCCTCAGACAAAAGTCTCGAGCCTATGTTTGTCTGACTCCAGCCCATCCTGCTCGTCCCAATAAGCTCGATCGATGCTATAATAAGGCAGACTTGAATTCAGCTTTGGGATTTTTCCTTCTTCCGTAACCGACTCCTGGTGATACTGTCTGACCGAGGGCGCAGATGATGCTGTCTTTCGCCTCTCGGCAGGGGGAAGTCTTGGTTCCTCGTTTTGCTGATTTGCAGTGGCGGAAATCTTTGAAGATCGTTTCTTGTTGACGTTCTCTTGGTATCCGGCTGCATTTAGGTGGGTTGGTGAAGTATCATGTGCGCGGTGAGAATGATCCTCTGGCAGTGTGGAAAACTGTGCCCCGTCCACGGTGTGCCAATTTTTATTGCCTTGGCTCCTTGACTGATAGATATCACGATCCAGCCTCAGTGCCGCCATGCGAAGTGACGATGACGCGGTCCAAGGCTGATCCATAGTTGGCAGAGAGATCGCCTTCTGCACTCTTCTTAGGTCGGGGCGGGGATGGAGGTCGGAGGACGAATTTCTTTCTTTCCTCGAGCCACGTTGACGTTCAGAGGAGCTTCCTCTCGAGTCTTGTGTGATTGGATGAGATGTCGAGTGCCTCAACCCCCGTTTTCGCGTATCGAGACTCGCTAAGGCAGATTCTCTCAACCCGCGGCTTGATGGCTTTCCTTTCGGCAGCGTACTGACCTCCCGTCTCCCCGCAACATCGGATGATCTGGCACAGCTCCTTTCGCGAGGGGTGTGTGCCGACGGGGAGTAGGAGCCGAAGCTGGACACGGAGGACACCTCGTCTTGATCCCATCGGCCTTCATCTGGGTGGAAATAAGGAGAGGGCGTCCTCGAATGCTGCCATAAAGTATCGTGCACAATTCGAACATTTCCAAACAGGGATTCCTTCGAAGGTGACAAGGGACTGTCATCAGGCCACTGATTGCTGAGGTTGCTCGAGGGTGCTAGACGAGGAGGCCTTTTGGATCTTTGGATAGAGTCTTTCGATCGATCGACCTGTCCAGGAGATACTTCTCTGGATTCAGACGGTGGTAATTCGACAAAACCAGAGGTTGACGGGGAATGATTCAGGTCTTGCTTTCCAACAGGTTTCTTGCTCTTTTGTGGTGTTGCATGGACAGGCACGAACGACGTTTCAGAAGATTTAGACCCCATGTTATCTTCGGGGACATCGGGAGCTGTTATCTTGTTCTCAGAATCATCCTCGTTATCAGTCTCCGGCGCAGTGTACTTTTCCCAGTCGTCTGTTTTAATAACTTGAGGAGCTGCCTCTTGATTTAGGAAAATTGAGGCAGTTGCTGCAGGCTCCTCTAAAATAAGTGTTTGGACTTCAGGGCTTGTGGAAGCTTCTTCATGGTAAATGGGAACAACTGACAGATTGGGTTGTTCATCCTTCCAAGGCGACGGGGGCGGTAGTGTTTCCCTACTTGGTGCTGTTTGCTCGACCGCTAGGTCAGACCCGAGGATCTCTACCGACTCCGATTCCGCGGAAATGGGAAGGAAAAAAGAGTGCAATCTGACCTGGGCTGGCTCTGCGTCTTCCTCCGTGTCGTCTTGGGATGTAACACGGCCGAGTAGCTGCCTTTCGTACTTCGGGAGGAAGTATGTCGCACTCTCGCGTGAAAATGCCCGGTCACGCCTTTCCTCTTGTTTTAGTCTTGTTTTTCTGACGTCGCGAAGCCGAGTATCGTGGGCTGTATTTATGGTCCTATCCTTGGACACCTCTTCAGTAGGCGATGACAACAGGGGCGGCGGTGGCAGGGGTGAGGGAAGGGGTTCATCTTCAACTGGCGCAGTACTCTCTTGACGCACCTCTGGGGAGGATGCCTCCTCATTTGTCGGCCGTCCGCGTGACTCTTCAGCTGAACCGTCCTGCTCATCCCTCGTGTCTGTCGTGAATACGGGGTTGACAATGCCTCGCGTGCCCGTTACGGCACTCGAACGAATTCCAGGAGGGGGGATGACGGGACGCGGGCGGGGATGGGCTGGTCTGCTGTCGTGCTGATCTACAGACTGCGACTGTTGGCGCTCGCCAGGTACCCATTGATGGGCTGAAGCATCGCTGTTTGCCGCCACAGGCGGAAGTGCAACAGTGAGGCCACTGGGATCATGTGGCGTAGTGGTATCCTCTGTAATTGGAGAATATGCTTGGTTCACAAAAGCACCGCCGACGTGTTCTTGTGGAGTGTTGTAACGGAAAGACGTTGCTATCTCGTAGCTTGGAGGTGGCTCTAATTTTGAAAGAGAAGGACAGAACCAGAAAGTTTACACATATTCGAGTTTGAACAATTTGATGTGTGGAACATAGCACCACGGGGTGTCAAAGATGTCAGAATTGCAGATCGGGTAATTCTAATGTTTATAATAGGAAGTAAATGGCAAGCAGTCTGTGTCTTGGAGGCTAATTAGGATTCACCCCTCATTCAAAAAGGTATTACATTCACGGCCCTACCAAAATGATACCTCGAGATGCTTGGTGGCGACAGACAAAACGGTCCCTTTTGGTTGATGTTCTACTTATGATCTCTATGGTTGATGTGGGCATGTGCGTGCAGTGCTAGGCATGCGCATATTAGTTCTGAGCACGCGCACAACCTGGAAAAGGACAGGTTTGTCTGCCGCCACTATGCGTCTCAAAGCAGTAAAACTTGGAGATTGATGCACGATAAGATGAGACACGCCCCTCTGTTGGAATGCTTCAACAGCAAGACGATCATGCGGGATCATGAACAGAAACACTTTTTAACTTACCAACAGGATGGACCAAGTGGGAAGCTGATGCGTGATATGAAGGGAGAGCTGAGAAAGGGACACGCCCTATAAAGATAGGCAGCAAGACTTCTGTATCAGCTGATCGATGTAGACGGCTAAGTATCGGACTTACCTGCCGGAGAAAAAAAAAGTTATGAGAATAGAACTGGGGCCATTGAGTGACGGGTGTTTTGGCAAGCTCAGACGAACATTCTGGTAATCACGTGATCAGCGAAGACTTCTCTACCAGCGTCTCTCTTGTCTTCATCTCCATCTGTATTTTGGCACCCTCATTATATTTGTCTAAACTATCTTAGTCACAAGGTGTATCAGTGATTCACTCATACTTCGTCTTCAGTGAAGTCTGGATAACGATTCGAATCTTGCTGTATTCAACTTGTGAACATGACAATCTTTTGTGGTCACTTTTATTACCATTATTCCCGACATCATCGTATAACATTTACTTACCAATGCAGATAAATTAAGATCGGATCGCTTCGGGAACTTACACGTATGAAGTAGTTGACGTCGATGATGCTGCAACCTGTGAAACCACTGTCGACGATAGGCTTGAAATCTGGGATGACCAGCGGCTCTCGTTGGAGTGTCGTCTCCCCACGTCTCTGCAGCACCCCACTCGTCTTTTTGCGGATGACTTCACGTGATCGCTGGCATGACCCGGGCCGTGTCACGCTGACCCCGGGAGACGTGAAGACGGACCCGGTGCCTCGGAATGTGGCCTCCTAAAGAGAGCCACAACGAAAGGATTTTGATATTTCAAATTTACTTATGGGGGGAAAAAAGAGAAAAGCATGCAAATAATTATGATAGTCGACGGAGCGGGCCATAGAGGGCAGTACTAGGTATCATATGTGGGAAACGGACTTTCTCTATTAAAGGTGACCCTAGATGTTTACTACACTCGCAGTTTCCATAATCTTATTATCATTGTTTGTATGTCAATTTAATCTCTGACTTTGGTGTCAATGAGTGATTGGATGTGACACTGTATTTTCAGCTGATTCATTGGCTTTCGTCCAAGTTAAGTTTAACAATACACCATAGAGTACTTGGTAAAGATGTTTGCGAGGACAAAACAAAAGAATAATATAAACGAACCTCAAAGAGAAGCCTTTGACTCAGAATGAGAACGAATGAAGGGAAGATTCTGGAAGGTGTTGAGACAAAATGGACATACCTCGATTAAATCCATAACGACGTTGTATCTTCTCCCATTCGATCCGTTGATGATGGCCGTAATGTAGGCTGTCTCTCCCGGGACGTAGGCCCGTCGGTCTGCCGAGGCCTGGACCTTGATCGACCCGGTGATGCAGCAGAGTGAGCTCATGAGAGACTCCGACTCGCCGTGGATCGGTAGCTGGGGAGCATGGAAACGGAATCACTTCGATAAAGTGGTGTGAAATCTTTAAATGAATGATTTAAACTCCGTAAGACGGACCCCTGGTTACAGAATATGCTTTAATTAAGAGAGCAGTAGTAAGGGGCCATTCCGTGAAGCTATCGGGAACAGTAAGTTCCTTAGCACTCAGAATATTTGCTTGGCAAAATTGCTTTAAACCAGTGGAAATAGCGAGGACAGTAATAACTGGTTCTCAGATATTCAAGCTATCCTTGTTAGCATTTTTATTCCAGCTTACAGCAGCTCATTGGGCCCGGAGTGATGATTAGTACCGTAGTTGGACAGTGCCACTCGGAGCTCGCCAACCAGTTATGCAGGCAACCAGGCTAGGACGACCACTAAGGCAAAACCTTACCATCGCATTGGGAACAGAGTTCAAGTCCAGCGGTCGGCCGGCGATCCCTATCGTCTTGGTGGTCTTGGTGTAGGACAAGGAGGATTCGCCGCTGATCTCACACATGAGACGGTACCTGACGTGGCCCCCGGGCCCCTCGTAGGCTGGGGGCAGGTCCTCCGCGGGGATATGGAACTGAAAAGGCAGCTGGAAGGGTCCTCGGTTCAACCGCTGATTTGAATGAGCTGCGAGGGGAACGTTGTTTGAAAAATTAAGTCAAGTGTGAGGTTAGGCCTATTGTTGAGCTCTCTAATAGATCTCTGTCATGATGCTGCCATGTTTGTCGTGCTCCCTGTAAACCCACTGGCAGTAGTAATACAACTTCACATATTAGTGAAAGGGAACAGACTCTTTTCCCTCCAGCCTCAGTTTGGTTTGCTTTGAATGGTAGAAATGCGTGATGGCTGCCCTATCATAGAGGTCTATACTGATGCGGAGGACTATACGGAAAGCGGTGAGAGCAGTAATTCGAGCGATATTTTACGTTTACACAGGAGCGAAAACCCATCTTGGTGCTTATGTTAATGACATTTCACAACGCCTATGACGCAGTTGCTGAATAATGACTCCATACCTAACGAGAACGCAGATTGGCCAGAACAACTCACTCTGGTTTCCAAACACAGCGGTTTAATCGTGTTACCGCGCTGTTTGTCCACTCTGAATCCAATACAAAACCACGAGCTTTATATTTTAGACTGCGCAAACTTTCGTGCGTGCGCGTGTGTAAATGGGCCTGCCAGTGGCGACTGTCTTACTAGTCGTTATATTATCCCTTTTCAACAGATCTCCCTGTTCCCATGTGGTTGTCGACGATGATTACTGCGACGCAACATAATTGTTAATACTACTGTTGCCTCGGTGCTCAAGTTTCTCAAGATCATTCTAAAATTCGCAATACTACGTGTATTGCTTCACGATATGGCAAAAAAAAATATTTCAGTTAATCTTTCTTTTAAAGATAAGTTTACTGCATCAATTATGATGCAGTAAACTTTTGCTTGGATGTCCTCTTACAATTCGGGACTTCTTTCACGAGCTAAGACAAAAAATAGAGATCGTCGTTCCTTACCTCGTTGCCACAGTGACATCTTTTCGTCGATGTACACTTCTATCCCAGTAAACGTAACCTGCTGGTGGTCGGTGAGGGCGGCATTTGGGGTTCTCACGACCTCGGTCCAGTTCGTCTTGGCTCGTCCCTGAAGTTTGATGGAAATCTCTGACGAAAGAAATGTGAAATGTGGCCTTCAAAATATCGCTTTCGTTGTGAAGAAAGTACTCGGGAACAGACTCTAAAAATCATGTTTTACAACATAGGCCTACATGTACATTTATTTTGTACTGACAGGTTATGAAGTACGGTAAAATCAAAACGAGCTGGTATACGCCTTTGTTTTTACTGCCGTATGCAATTTCAAGAGCTGTCAGTATTTTTAACCAACTCAAATGAAGAGGGTTACTTAAAGAAGCACGTGACAAAGCAGAGGTATCAAAACACAGAATTAATACATAAGCCTGAATACCTCTTTGGTTTTATCTTTTTTTGGAATGACGATTTCTAACTGACAATTTTACTTTTAAAAAATTAATAACAGGACTGTAATTAGGCCTATGTAACTTACATCTTATAGTGCAAGCATGATACGCGAAAACATTATTTTCTTTTTCATTCGTAACTTTATATTTCTATTTATTACAGGTGCATATAACATACAAAAATATTTTCGTACAGTAGCGTTTGTCGATGAAAACCATGAGTTAAAAAGCTTTTGAAGAAAAGACTGTTACCCTCGGACATGACTTGTTCCTACAAACCCATGTAATTATATTTATTTGAATAAATTTATTTAATATCAAGCACAAAAATGACGAATTATGAAAGATTCTTCTATTCTGACCTGTCACGTCCTCTCGAGGTGTATTTAGGGTGAGATGGACGACCCCAGTCAGGTGACCACCAGGCCTGTATATTGGCACGCCCCTCACCTCGGCCACACTGTTGTTGTCCAAGACGATGTCGAAGGTTCGAATTCGTCCCATGGCTAAAATAAATTTGTCGGCACCCTTTCCTGTATAGTTGGGTGGTCCAAGTCCTCCAAACTAGGACGGTTTGTCGAGGGGCCCATTTTCTGGCATATTTATCGGAAGGGAATGAAAAATCGTCCGCCAGACTAAGGAAAATCTATCGAAACGGACTCCGGTCTAATATCTGAATCAGAAAGCGAGGCTGAAATGAACCAATTTCTTGGATGCATTTACTTTGATGAGCTTCTGACGAAATCTTGCTGAGTCTGAATTTCCAGTGGTTTAACGAATTTAACTTTTGTCAATGACCGCTCACCAACGATGTAGCATGTACTGCAAAGCTTCTATAATTTCAAGCGTTCTGAATCACATTAGTTCCTCTGCAACAAAGGTTTTTGACGGCTCAGAGCGACTGCAACTCCTCTCCACTAGTCTCATGAAAAGCTACACCAGAATAGACCAACGCATTGCTCATCTTCGCTGGGCCCAGGGGAGTTGCAGATATCAAGATATCCGAACACTTTTTGTTGCTCACCGTCAGAATCAGGATCACGGAATACTCAAATCTAGGTTGTCAGTCTGCTTTCGATAGCTGAACAGAACAACTGTAAGTTTATTCGAAACTATAGCCATGTACGCGCACCACGAGAACATCTTCGGGGTTTCTTTGTGTCCAATGTGACGACTTCAGGAAAAAAAATGACGTGCCCTTCATACCGCTGGATGAAAAATAACCTCCTCTGGGCACAGCAGTGTTCGCTTGCGAATCGGAATCATACAAATGACCAAATACGGACCAGGACCGTCAACACGGCAGCCATGTAAATAAACATAGTGCGTGTATACGCCCGCCGGTTGACTGGTCTCGGTTGTGTGCCGTACCACGACGAGCCACTAGTGATCGGCTCTGTACGACTGCATACCCATAATATGTTTATTCATAATTTATGCAAAGTGATTGTGCTTCAGAATCTTCTCTGGGCAAAGTCCACATGGTGATTCAAATTGATAAGAGAGTTCAAAGTGAACAAGTCAGTGTCAATATTTCAACCCAGAATAGTTCTGGACAAGCTGCAAAGTACAATCTCGCTCGGAAAAAGAAATGCCCCTTATATTTGATACTTTGTTTTAACAAGTTAAGATAAGGTGCGTGGGTTAATCGCCAGTTATTTCTCTCGCTTCTTACGATGTGATCAATTCTTCAGAACGTCGACTGCGCCCGAACCGGACACACGATGCAAAAAAAACAAATCCAGCAATTAAGGTGTAAAGTACCTCGTTATCGGAACCTACAGTGCCTGTTTAAATTCAACTGCCACATGAGATAGTTGGTTTAGGAAGGTAATGCATTCGAATTCATCGTCTGTTTCTTCCCTCTCGATGTTTTCAATTATGTTACGAATTATTTTACCGAACGCGAGGCTACGAGTGGAATAAGTATAATGATAGGACCATCAGCGAGTATATTCTTCCCTGCCCCATGCATGTTCTTAATGAGGTGTGACATATTGCCTGCAACGTTATACAGACGCAATGGAATGATCAACGCGCCATGTTTGTTGCTGGTATGATAACCCACCGTCTTTAATGTACTGGTTAATTCTGCATGCACTAATGTAGCCTGACTGGCCGCTTGACCTCTTCCGCGAAAGCTGTAAAAATCATTCGGAATAAGATGAAACCCGCACAAACAACACAGCCGTAATCAACACAGACACTTTTTCATGATTGTAATTAAATTTCGTTTGTATCCTCATCTCCTGAAAAGCAACTTAACCAAAAGGACGAGTCAAACAACGTCGAACTCGAAACGTGTAGTTTCATTACGGTGACATTCTATGCTGGAAATCATGCCCGCTTCAATTGAAAATTAAAATTAGTAAATTACAAATAAATTTCTCATGGAATAACAAAAATTCGCCTGTTTCCCCTCAAAAAGAATAATGATATCTGCACATAAAATACATGCATTTACAATGCAGACCGTTTCGGGGAATTATTTCAGTACAACTGCTATGTTAACTTGCAGAATGTTTTTTGCATTAAAGGGCAGCCGCAGTGAATTTCTGCAACTTTGTACTCTTCTCCAATGTATGAACACTCGTTTACACTCACATTTGGTTAAATGCACTGAAAAGTGCACTTTTTGAAACACTTAAAATTATTCGTGCTTTCCTGGACGACGGAGGGCGCTGTTGCTGTGATGTCATCCAGGGAAAACAAAGTTCATTGCATGGGTTTTTCTATTAAAATTGTGAACCCGGATTTTACTTTCTGAAAACATTTCCTTGAAGAAACACTGGTGCTCACTTATTGCTATGCACATAAAAACAATAAATCAGCAACGAAGAGAAAAGTTAGTCCAGCAAAATCTACAAATGCGCATCAGGACTTTTTGCGTACAAACCATTACAACATTTAGGCTTTCTTCCTGGGATGACATCACAGTTTTGCTCATGAATTTGAAAATACTCATTCGCATAGAAAGTAAAAAAGCAGCAACATACCCTTTGAAACAGTGAAATAAAAGTTGAAAATAAGGTTAACCGAGGCACCAAGGTGCATTTTGATGGTTTGCATCAAAATAAATTGAACCGTGGAAGCCAGTTTAATGGTCTCAAACCTTACAGGCGGATTTTGCTCCACCACATCTTATCCTTACAACTGCAGTTTCAAATGCATATTCCTGCGTTGTACAAATACTAACTATTTGAGGTCAAGCTGTCCTTGAAAAGGCACTTTTCTCCAATGTGCAATATACAGTCGAACCTTGTTAATAAGAGGTCCTACGAACTTGGCAAATTACCTTGTTATAACAGAAACCTTGTATTATCAGGAATTAAGACAATGAAAAACAAAGGATTGGGATCTAACATCTTCCTTGCTATAAACAGAATCTTGTATAAACAGTGCTCTCATTAACGAGGTTCAACTGTAACACGTAAGATTATGTGGCACGCAGCATTGAATTTGAGAAGTGGCGATGATAACAGACAATAGATACATGTATATATATTTAGGCTAAGGTAGGATTATCATGATGAGATCTTCTTGGAGAACTGAGGAAATCTTCCTGTGCCTCTCTTCTGATCGTTCAATCGTAGATCCAGTAGACTTGAGGGCGCTCTGCGAGATACTTCGCGAGGTCATTGGTCGCCAGGCGATCTCTCAGCGCGACTAGCTTAGGGTAGTGTTCCAGGCCTTTGTTGGCGAAGGGTGGCGTCTCGAACCACCCCATGGTGACGAAGAAGATGATATCAGCCAGAGACGCCTGATCAAAACGCATCCGCCCCCCAATAAAAAATGGGGAAAAAAGGAAAGAAAACGATAAATGGAAATGAAAGTAACCTTTGATTCAAAGGGAAGAATTTGGAAGAGTTCTAAATGCTTACTGAAATTGCATCAATTGTTAGGACTATTTATAAAGCCGAATATTGCCTATCTGTGTTGATAACCACGGTCTTTTTTGTCTTATCCTAGGGTCTTTCGTTTTTCTATTTTAAAGACAAACGGTTCTTTGAGGGGCAATACGATGAAAAAGAAAGAGAAGGGTAAGGGTCCACTCTATCTGGACATAAACTCGGTGAATCTGATGGCATTTTGAATGTTACCTTATCACCCATGAAGTATCCATTCCCATCCTTGTTCTTTTTAAGGAGGTTCTCAAGGTTCGTTAAATGATGGGGCGCGACATTCTCATAGTAATTCTTGGCGTTTTCAGCCTGAAGATAGAAACATGAATGAAACGAACTCGTCAAATTATATCCACTCAGGCTAAAGGCTTATTTGATACGGTGGATGTGGTATAGTTTTGGGCCAAAAATCTGTAAAAGTGGAAGTTTTGAAGAAGCACTATAATGTTGTTTTTCTTACTTGTTTATCGCACAGTATGTAGCATGCTTTGTTTAATTTATAAAAGGCTACCACCTTACCTGCTTGGCCTGGTCTCGCTCGAACATAACTGGCATGATCATAGGATCAATCACGTCTTTGAGTGTTTCCAGAACAACGTCAATTTGGGCTGCCTCCCAGTTGTTGGAGCCATACAACCCTATGAATACCAAATAAGGGAAAGTTAGGAAAAAATAAGTCTACTTTCATGCCTAGGAATCAACCAAACTGTCTAAGAGAAATTCGTGACGATGGATAGACCTTCTCTGGACCTAGAGACACATACTTTAAATAACACCATTGGCTGATCCGCGGGGGGCATGCCTGCCATCCCAGCAAATTTTAGTTTGAAAAATAATGAGAATATGCGATGTTGTGGGCTGTGTTATACCCCTTCCTGAAAAATAACGCGTGAAAAGCACCAAATTTTAGCTCCTCCCATTAAAAGGTTGCATTACCCTCTTTGTGCCTTCTCCTCCAAAATAAATTTGGCGTCGAAAATTTAGTTCTGAATCCACCTTTCAATCATGCAGAGGACTACGACCGACGACTTGCAGCTAAAACAACTCTAATAAACTCTGAGACATACCAAACTCCCTGGCGACAAATGATTCGATAGCAGCGCTCTGAGGAAGTTCTTTACCATCAACCACCAACACCGGAATGTGGCCCTGAGGAGTGGCTGGAATGGAAGAGAATAACTTTAGATCGAAACTGGAAGTTCTCCAACGACAGAAGATACTTCTTTTCACAGGTTTACGAGTTTCCATTAAAAGACTGGGTTTTGATCTTCATTCTGACGGGATGCAGTAGTTCGGCAACTACACACAAGCAAGATCACGTTTATGTCATTCTCATGAGCTGTCTTTATCAGAGTAAGACCCACCATGAAATCTTGTCAGTATAACCAGATCAAGTGTAACCACGTGCACGAACTTTATTGTCTTACTACAAACAGAGAAACCAGTTTCTTCAAAACTTGCGGCGTCCTCTCGGATTGTATTTGGTTCAACTTACTCGGTTTAATTTTAGGCCATTCCTCCTTCGTAATTCTTACGTCTTCAAATTCCTGTTTTGCCAAAGCAAACAGCATCCGTGTGGCCTCAGCCCGACCACGGGTATCAAAGTACAGAAGCTTGTACGAAGGCATGCTCAGGTCGGTTCCGATTAAGTTTCTGCAAGGAAAAATCGCTTTAACTCGGTGACTTTGACTGATGAAATGGACACGGTTTCAGGAAAGACTTGACTGTGAGAACCAAATTGAACCAGGACGTCCCGTGTACGTTTCGTTTATTCGTTTTACGATTTGAAAATGAAAACATAAACGGAAAAAACAACTTATTTTCCGTTTTTCAATTTGAAAAGAGAGTAGAACATCGTAAATGAGTCATGTCGGTTATCCATTTGAAAACGCAAAAAGTGGAGAAGGAAAAAGAGATCGTTTCTCGTTTTGCAAAACGCTAATCAAAAAACAAATGTACATGTAGTTTCTCTTAAATTTCATTTTAACTTATTTCGTTTACAGCGCACGTAAGTTCGAAGTTGTCTGGCTCATTATAATGTATGGCAGGTGGCCACCGCCTCAAAGTATGAAGTCAAGCCTTGGACGCCCTTCCTAGTCGGCCTATCCCCTCATCGGTTGAAAAGAGCCGCGTTGGTCGAGAGTGTCCATTTTGTTGATAGCGATGCGACCCTGACGAGTGCAGTTCCTAGTCGTTCGTGAACCAGCGAAGTTCAGTCCCGACCAAGGAGCCTCTGTTGCTATAAAAAATAGCTCGAAGCCCATAGTCAGCACGTACCTACTACTATTTCTAAACAGTCTGTGTAACTGAAATTGTTCCAAGCTTGAGAACAATATGCAAGACAAAGAGAAAACAATAACAGAAGAAAAAAACGAGAAAAACCGAACTGTTTAAAGAATACTAATACCTATAAAGAAAAGCCATTTTATACACGCCCAACTCATTGACAACCCACGCCTTGGATTGAAATTGCTTTCCACAGATTTCTTTGTGGGTTGCTCCTTTCTCTACGTTAATACTTTTTAACTTGTTGCCTACTGATTAAGTTACAATCTTGTTTACCATTTCTTTTGTCGCGTCATATATTTCTTTATATGCCTGTTTTTCTTGTGCAATATACATGCATTTGTTTTTGCGTGGTTTAAGTGGCACCTACGAGAGCAACTTTTTTTGCAATCATGCAGTGGTGTTGCTTAACTATCAACTTTTCTACGTGTGTTTGTTTGTAACTTTTACCCACAGAAATTTATAAATGAAATGAAAATCCTTGTCATTCTGTATTTCATATTATATTTAATTCATGTATTTTGGCGGGCTTTAAACTCAAATCTTTTAACATTTTAAACGAATGAGGGCATCGCTCACAGACCCGTAACGCACGTGCGCTGTAGTCCTGCATTGTCCCAGGCTCCCAAATGGCAAATTCACGGTTTAGAAAAATTACTCAGAACTGACGACAGTTAGCAGTACTCTAGCAAGCAAGTTTTGGGAACTAATTAGCTCAGAGAATCTTAACGTTACCCGTCTTCTCAAGTGTAGGACTAGCCCTATTAAGTGAAAGATCAGAGGTGCAACTTACCTAGGCCTCCGTGGAGAGTTAAGAGAACTTAGCTGGGTTTTGTAACGCGTGAACCTGACATGCACATAGTTTAAGCAAGCAGCAACTGACCTTGTTCCATGCACCAACTCAATAGCACACGAACAATTATGAATGGAAATTCTTCTCCATCTTTTGTTATGCCTGTTTATGTAGGCCTGGTGCTACAGCGAAATTTCAAAAGGCTATTTTTAAATGACCCCGCGTCTCCAGATCCACTGCACTGCCCCTCGTTACAATGGGTGCGTTCGCTTAGCTTACACGTGTAAGTCAAACTTACACGAGAGCGTTCGTTTAGCCATCACGTGATCTTCGTGCGTGCCCTGGTGTCAGCCACCACTACCCCAGCTGGCGAGCGGGTCTCTGGAGACTGCCCGAGTGTAATGACGTCACGGGTGGACTGTTCGAGCATGGACGTACATGATGGAACGAGGCGGGGACTTGACCTTTTTCCCAGAATGCCTTTGAAAACACACTGTGCCTCATTTTGAGACTTCCCTTGAGTGTAACACTGGTGTGTTCAGGGAAGCTAATCGAACGCACCCATTATAAAAAAGGATACTGGAAATAATCATTAGGCCACTGAGATTTCATTATTAAGTCCAAAATGATGCCATACTGTCCATCAAACCACTTTGGAAAAATAGAATAGGTGCTCTCAATTATCCCACCCTTTATTACTGCAATGGCTGATCTGCGCCACCGTATTAGAGGGCTCATTAACTGGTACCCGCGTAGCAATTGACGCAGCATATTCGCTGTATAGCACACACTGAAAAAAATATAACGATTACCACTGAAGAGTCTCTTTCCAGGCAGCCATTACCGTTACCAACATGGTGAGGAAAAGGGGACAAAATTATCCCGGAACATCAACTTAATCAAACACCTTTTAGGATCAAAAAGCAAATGTACCTGAAGAAGATGATTTAGGGTTTCGTACTGTCAATTTTCGTCGCCGATTTTAATCAAAAGAAACAAAAATCTATGGTTTTCTATAATGCTCGGGCAGGGAGGGTTTGAATGCAGTTTGCGATGAGGGTTGTGAATTGGGTACTCCCTGGTTTTGGAAGATCAGCGCTGACAGAGTATTACTCGGGCAGTGTCTTTTGGTTTGGTTACACTGGGAGAAAAGTGTGACTTTCTTACCATAATTTGTCAATGTGAAGAGACTGTCTTGTTGACAGGCACAAACATGGCGAGTTATGTGCAGTGCCGTTCAGTCTAACAGACCTACTCCTCCATAATTTTGAACCAATTAAACGCTGTTTTTACTCATGCAGATAAGTTACTCTCCAATCAGTGAAATTTGTCCAAAAGGAACTGGTGAACTTGTATGTCAGAGCGTTGGTTGTTCTTTTTCACAGATGGTGTACCTGATGTTTTGTTTTATAGAGACAGCCAGCCTATATTCATATGTAATTAAAACAAACTGTTTAATGCGGCATGCGAGACACCATTGGTCTATCCCAGGTTATTGAAAAATTTAGCTAAATATCTGTGCAAATAAAGTTGCTAGGAACTCCCATATTCAAGGTCAGACGGTGCAAAGGTTAACTCTCCTGTTTTGATTCTTTGTCTTTCTTTGGTTTGTCTTTTTCACACTTTTAAGGGTGACTCGGCAATAACAGTCCGAACCCGGAAGTTCATGACAAACCGCTTGCTGAACCGCAAGCAGATGGTTGTGGACGTCCTCCATCCAGGCAAGGCGACGGTGCCCAAGACCGAGATCCGGGAACAGCTGGCCAAAGTCTACAAGACCACGCCGGACGTCATCTTCTGTTTCGGCTTCCGCACCCAGTTTGGTGGGGGCAAGACGACAGGGTTCGGCCTGGTGTACGACACGCTGGACTTTGCCAAGAAGTACGAGCCCAAGTACAGATTAGCACGGGTATGTACACGTATGCATTTAGTGAGGCCATGTTGATTATGTGTGGGACTCGGATCTTTCAGGTTACTCCAGATGGTATGGGAGAAGTTTGGAAGATTTGAGGAAGAGAGAGCATAACCACTCAGGCCGCGATGAATCGCATGTTCGATAGCCCGGGGCAATCAAATTTTCATCCGGGCAATTCAAATTCTAACCAGGTGTGCCTGTTTTGGCAAGTCCAGAAAAGCTGATGTCTTTTTCAGTCAAAATATATTTCAATAGCTTTTTCACACGTTAAAATGCTTGTTTTTGTATGTTTTTGTTCTTACATTTGCAATTTTTTGAAAGAAACTTCCAATGTTACGCTGTCGCAGTGGAGAAAAACGTGTGCCCACAGCTCAATGCATTAAATGAAGCTGCTCTGGTTCCCGCCACGCTGCGCCCATGCAAAGAAATGTAACAACCAGAACCAGTCTATACATGTACTGTACGTTCTGGTCAACTACTATACATCGGCCATATATGCATGCAACCCTAAAGCCACAGGTCAAAAAAATTGATGTTGCAAGAATTTTCTGTAAGTTCCTTCATCGAACTTGGTCTCTTATTTATGTGTGTGTTTTCTGTGTTCATGAGGTTAATTTGAGTATGTTTTGCTCGTACTTGAAGCCAGCGTCTTTCAACAAATCTCCTGCCGTGGTACAAGGTTTTTTGCCCACTGGTCTGGATGCTTCACGCACGCTTACCACGCGATATATTGTAGGCCAGTTTGCCGTCATGATTGCTCGAGTCACACTGTGTGAATTGCCCATAATTCTTGTGAATTGTCACCTGTAGAAATTTTACATAGATTAAGACAGGTGTTCATCACTTTTTGAGATAATTTTGGAAGCTGTCGTCCCCGTTCGTGCCATTCAATCAGGACAAAAAAAATTGACCCCCCCCCAAAAAATTTCCAACCTACCGACCCTATTTTTAAGAGGCATGTCATTGGAAGCACAATATTTTTGGGGCCTAATAAAAGACTGCATGCATGCAGTAGGCCTAAGTTAAATAACCATAATAATCGTGGATTCCGAGAAATCCCTACATAATGCTACAAATTACTACTTGTAGTAAAATGTAGTAATCAGTGCTGGCACTTGTAAGAGGACATGACTGTATTGTTCTCTGAAGCCATAAAATACAATAGAAAACACAATGTACGGTACAGTGCTCTGGCACTATGAATGCATGGCTTTATTGTTCTCTGTATGAGTAACAATGGAAGTAACCTAGCCAGAAGTAGTAATATGTAGTGCTGGGTCCTTCAGGCTGAGGCTATTACTTAGTATTTTGTAGTACTGAGTACTGTAAGCCAAATAATATGCTTGGCAGTTAGGGTTAATAAGAGATCCTTCGAACTTAGCACATTACCTTGTCATAACAGGAACTTTGTATTATCAGGAGTGAAAACAATGACAACAGAAAATTGGGACCTAGAAATTTTCTTTTTATTGACAGAATCTTGTATTATTAGTGCTCTTATTAATGAGTTTGGCTGTAATCCACCTTGAGGAGAAGCACTCCCTTATCAGTGGAAACGAGCCATAGTGGTTGGGAGTGTTACTGGTGGCGATATGACCATAACACGTGCATTTCGTTTGTGAACTAGCCAAGTGCAGTTCCGACCAGAGGAGCCTCTGTAGCTCGGGGCCCATAATTCTTGAGGGGGCGAGCCATTTCACACAGATTATTTCATAACAGCAGCCGCAACCGTGGTATGATGTTTGGTTAAGAGAAGCTGTCTTGGAGAAAGACAGTGTTCAGAATTGCCGGATGTTGTATGTGTTGTGTACTTTGGGGCCGACTGTAAAGTCTGTATGCATGAAAGGGGGGGGGTTGGTGCCATTGCCTACACCATGCTTACAGAGGGGGTTCAAGCCAGTGTGTGCTGTACGCAAACCGAAAATAAGCCTTTAATTAATCTTCATCATATCAATACACTTTCTCATACAAATACCTTAGGCTTACCTTATCTCTCGCCCCTGTGAACGAATGCTGTCGTATTTTTTTTTTGGCAATTGTTTGTGGTATGGCACAAAAATTGATGCAGGTTTGTGGACTCACCAGTGTTCATGGAATGTTAGGGCTGTTGCAACTTGTTACAGGGTTTCATATGATTTTAAAAGGTATCCAAGTTAAAGATGTGGCCTTTTATTCAGAACTCTTGAAATCCATCAAAATTGACACCCAGATCGGCATTATTTGGAGGAATTTGATACTATACTGTGTAGTTGACCTTTTTTGTAATAATGTACTTGCACCTGAACGTTTTAGATTTTGGAAGTTTCAAGAAGGTTTCAGGTAGATTTGTGTAAAAGAAGTATAGTGCGAAAAAACTGTCGTCTGCAGACTTGGGTGTGATTTATAACCATAAAAAATGGCCAATCCAACAGGATTGTGTGTAATAAACACTACTTTTGGGTGTCTTTTTAATGACGCTGTATGTATGAAGCAACGCTTTGCATGTTGTTTGCCAAAAAAGAAATCAATAAGACTGAGTGGATACATCTAAGCTGGGGGATCATCCTCTCTACTTCCACATTTGAAAAGATGGGGGGGGTGGGTTAAAAGCCCGGCTGGGAATGGACCTTACACCTTCATCAGTCATAACTCATTCTTTGTAAAGCCTTCAGGCTGGTTCAGAATATGTGCATGGGCAAAGTGTGATCAATATTTGTTACATCATGGGCAAGTATTGAACACGTCAGTGTTGATAACGTTCACTGTAAATAGGATACAGAATTAAATTTGTACTATATATGCATTTACACAAAGTGTGACCTGGGCAGCAGGTAAACTTAACCAGGGGCGAAATTTTTTTTCTGAATGAAATGATGTGGCTTTTTTGCTGCATTAGCATTTGCCCCTCACCAGTTTTAATTAATTGGTTATCTCGGTCGCACTTTCTTTTTCTCGTTTGCAGCAAGGCCTGTATGAACGGAAACGCCCCTCCAGGAAGCAGCGCAAAGAACGCAAGAACAGACAAAAGAAGGTGCGGGGAACAGCTAAGAGCAAGGTGTCCGCCGGCAAGAAGGTGAGTCTGAATTGTCTGGTAGCGAGGCTCACCCACCTCAATTTGTAAAGCATGCCAAAGAATTGACGATCCGCAGTTTTATCAAAACCCACATCCAGACAGATTTACAGAAGATAGCGATCTCGCTGCAGTATTGTAGCATCTTTGACATGGCCTATCGATAAACAGTTGAACCGTTATACCGAATTGAAGTTTAACTTTCAGAGACAAAATCTGTTTTCAGAACAAGGCACGATACTGACACTCAGGTTGTGTTGTGAAGAATGTTTACTTGGGAAAATTGGATCAACTAAGGGCAAAATTGGAGTGTTGGCGATAATAAACCATACTTTGACCAACGTTGCTCAGGGAACCAGGCCGCCCTTGTGGCATTGTGACACTGCTGGTTATCAATAGCTGATTTTATTTATCAGTGCTGAGGAAACCATTCATATGGAAATAAATGAACAGGATGTCATTGACCATGAATGCTGTGAGAGTTGAAGTTAACAGTAAAATTTGAGTGACAACAAGATTTCACAAAATGGTTGGTGAGCACAATAACAAAGCCACTGACCAGTAGTTGAACAATAGTTTGCACCTTAACTTGCCTAAAGCAGTTCATTGTAATGAACAAAGACTTACTGGGTTTTGGTTGCAAGAGGGTAAGGTAAACCTGCCAACTGTTCTGATTTAATTGGAGCTGGGCAAATTTGTAAGCTTTCAGACCGCAAAAGAAATGGGTATATTCCAAAATCCATAAAGAGAAAAAAGTCCTGGCAAAAGAGGGTGCTGTTTATGGAAAAAGA